CTGGTGCATTGTTGGGTTGAGGAGGCTTCCCTTTGCGGGCAGTAGAGCGACGAAGATCGTCATACAATATCTGTCCTTTGCAGTATTGGTCGAGAAAGTACTCCCGTAAATGTCGACACTCTTCAGTACTGTGACCCTTGTGGTTATGAAACTCGAAAAATAATGAGTCGTTCTCATCAGTTCGATAGTATTTGTTCCACGCCTTGGTCTGATGTTAAACAGCGTTGATGTTGTTCGTGTAGAATTTTCTACCTTAGCCCATCTGAGGTTTGATGAAGTCTTATTTAGATCGTTCCTTGGGGTCAAGCTATTTGGGCGCAAAGCTTTGATTGTGGGCAGCTTCTTCCTCTTCTTAAGCGATGTAGGTGTTGGCCCGATGTAGCGCATCCTCCAGGGTATGGGATGGATTATGCCTGATTGCACTTCAGAAGTTCGTTTTGATCTGAGCTCCTTTGTGTAGACACTCGAGAGCGGCTTCGTCACTCATTATGCAATTGGTGACCACTGTTTTAAAGCGGTGGATAAAGTTGTGCAGGCTCTCGTTCTTCCCTTGAGCTATGCGGCATAGTTTGGAGTCTTTCATCTTCTGTCTGATGAACATTGAGAAGTGCTTACGAATGTTGTGGTTAACTCCTTGTAATTGTTTATCGAGTTCCCTTCAAGTCGTGAAAACCAGTCGAGAGCGATACGGCCAAGGTTCTTGACAAACAGTTGGTACTAGACCGTATCTTTTTCTTCAGCAGTTCGGAACTGATATCGGTTCATGCAAATTCTGAACGAGGTCAGGAAATGGCGCGGATAGGAGTCGCCCTCCTAAGTCTTGATCTTAGGCTTTTCCAAGTGCCGAACAGGTGTGCCAGCGATGCGTGGGGTGAAAGGAGTCTTTTGTGTTTCTTGGATAACGTGGTCAATCTCCGGAGCCGCGATTGTTGCTTGGTGAAATTTTGACGTGATTTGACAAAGCTGTGCCTTCGTTGCCTCAATCTTAGCGTCATGGGCTGGATTTATCGGAAGAGGCGGAGCGCATTGTCCCAGTAAGCTTGCCTTCCGTGTTGAGATCGTCAATGATGTTACATACTCAGCGGAGTACAAACTTGACTGAGTTTGTCGATTTGAGCCGCCATTTGGTTGAAGCATTCGTCACTTTGCTTGTTGATGGCCTCAAGTTATGCAGTAAATACTTGGAGGAGCAAGTCTGCACTGAGGGCCCCAACGATAGAGTTCGTTGGGGGAGCTTGTATGTTCCCTGCTTCAGCGTTCGTACCGGTGCTGTTGCCGTTAGGGGTTCCTCTGCTCCCTCTGTAGGAGGTCGGTTATCACTGTTGCCGAGAGGATCCCTCTCATGCTCTTGTTTGAGGGGTTGGTTATCCCCTCTCTCTCCTTCCAGGAGTTCTGTCTCCTGCCTGGGTTTGATCACTGTCGTTTGGCGTGTCGACGGGATTAGTTAAATTTTTCATCTCTGATCTGAAGTATTCTGTGCTAAGATCTAAAAGATTGTTTATTGTTTTCAAAGAACTAATATCACACAAAGGGACAAAACAGTAATTTAGATCGAAGTCGGTTTTATTGCTAGCAGATAAGAGTAAATCAACTGAGTTTGTTTCCGAGCTAATCGTTTAAAGAACTAGGACTTAGAGAATTGAATTCTTAGAATATCTATTAGCTCTCCTTTTCTAGGTCTCTGCGGATTCTTCTGTGTTCTTTGGTGTCGATTTCTCTTTCCTTTTATATATGCCTTAAATCAGTTCAGAGGAGTTCCTTTCCTGATAAGGGATTCGAGAGAGTTTCCTTTTCTCCGAATCGAAGGTGGAAACTTCCTGACCAATTTGATGTAAATTACGGGAAAAATGTCAATTACTCAGCTCTGAAATGTTACGTTAAATTATTTAAGCCACTTCTTTTGTAGGTTAAAGAAAAAAAAAGTAACGATTTACATGCAACTTAATCAATATATTCATTTTTTTTCTTTGACTTTTTTATTTTATTTCTATACTATTATCTTTATATGTGAAGTCACAGATCTTATGTGTCTTTTTTATAGTTATTATATATATATATATATATATTTTATACTAATATATCGTGTGTTTATTTTTCATCATATGTGGCATTTTTTAACGATTTTAATTAATCGTTCATTAATTTGATTATGTATACTTTAATATGATGTGGCAAATTTATTATAATCATATATAGTAAAAGAGAAGTAAATTTTTAATTTTAAACCCTCTCATTGATTTTTAGGATGATTAATTACTTTTTGCTTATTAATGAAAAAAATCGACCAATTATATTTTAACACCCTTACTTATTAGCGATTAATTGATTTTGTCATAAGTTTGATCCGATTAGGCTATAGTCCTTGTGTTAAGTTGGGTCTGTTTTGTGATCCATAAATTCAATTAGGTCGTTGTTGGGTTTAGGTTTTTGGGTTCATTTTCTTTCGAACCCTAAGGTTTGTGTTATTAGCGTAGATATGTGGAATGTAACAGGGATGCCAACAGGACCCCTGCCCCACAGGCGCGTCGGTGAGTAGAAGCTTTTCTCACCCTAACGCAAACAAGGAGGCCAACGCGGCCATTACGGATGCCATCGGTATGGTCAAGCAACTCGTAGATGGGGTGAGTTCTATTAACTTGTATAAGTTATTTGTGTCTGTATATTCTTTTCATTCTTTTTATTTTTGTAGGCCCTTGCAAACGACAACAAACCAGGGCCCAGTGAGGTTGTACCGCGAAAGGAACACGGGGGTAAAAGGGATGTGCGGCTCAAGACAGTATCATTGGAGGTGGGCGAGAGCAATGATGTTCCAACGTTCGAAGCTGTAAGTTATTCTGGCGATGGTCTTGGTGTTTGAAATTCAAGGACTCTAAATTTTTTCAAATGTTACCGGATAATATATCGGATAGATACGTAAACTAAACATTCCCGTTTAAATTTAACATTATTACACTTTTGAATTAGTATGATCGTCTTATATCACACACAGCTAGTAGGCTTGATGGGGCAGGGTGTTGTGGACGGAGTTGGCGCCGGACAGGGGGCAACTGATGGTGATTGTGGCGAAGATTTTGTAGAGGAGGACGGGATTGTGAATGCTGGGTTACGTAGAGGCAAAAGACCACGTCTGCAGAATTCTGCTTATACTGACTACGAAGTCGTCAAGAGGTTGTTATCTTGCACAATGGGGACGCACCGTTCATATGTTCGGCGGAGCAGCAGAGGGAATATTTCTAGAAGTTTGTTAGGCTTCATGCATTGCTAAAGAGCCAGCGGTATGTCACATATAATTTTGTAAATATCATTTGCCGTATGGATTCTTACGTGTTAATTTTCTCTGGGTCAGTGTCATTAGCCTTGGGGATGGTACTTCGGTTAGTAGCAAAGAGGTCCTAGACATGGCGGAGAGGTTCAGGCCGGAGAAGTCGTCTCCGACAGTTTTATTTGGGGCAGTCGCAGTGATGGGGTAAATGCTGCACTCGTATGCCTTAATCCAGATAGTCTTTGTGTACTCAGGTGCCACCAAAGATTCGAGCCTAGTGTTTAAACGGATGGCAGCCACGACGGCATGAGAGCACGGATAGCGAAGCATCTGGAATTCTTGGCAACTGCAAGATTGTGTTTCCAGATTAACAAGAAACAGAACCCCCTCTTTTTTCACCTCATACTCGTCAGCATTGATTCAACGAAACGCGAAACCTGTTGACAATGCAAAATTTTTTACAAGTATTTCCTCCAACTTAGGTGTTAATGTGGTACCACATCTATTAGCATCTTCACGAAGTGTTGCAAACCAACCCATCAAAGTTTCCTGGATGCACTCCATCAGCGGGACAATTGGGTAGTCACGCACACCGAGGAGGATATTGTTAAGAGATTCAGCCGTGTTGCTCGTCATTATGTTGTATCGCACCCTAGGGAAATGAGATCTCGCACAGGGCTCATATCCAATCGCAGTCAGGTAGCTTGCACACCCTGCGTCTATTGCTTAGATCTCCTCAAAGTACTCGTAGAACTCTGATGGGAGATAAGCTCTTGCTGATTTTGAAACCATGTAGTTCAGGGGGTGCAGTGTGGAGCCATAGGATATACCTACATATATTAAGATTGTTAGACACATTGGCAAGGTAATAGCGGTAACTACAATAAATGCAGAGGTAATAATAAGATTATCGATAACTGATAACTCTTCTTGATTCACCTTGCGCAGACCCGTGCTGATAGAGTTATGGTGGTCAGAGACAAACACCAAATCATGACTGTCTGGTGTCACTTCAATCAACTTACGGAAGAACCAAGTCCAAGCATTGTCGTTTTCACCGTCGACAATACCGAAAGCTAGCGGGAACAGCTGGTAGTTTCCATCTTGACAGCTCGCGGTTGAGAGAAAACCACCATATTTACCTTTCAAATGTGCGCCATCTACCACTACAACCTTCTGCATATAAGGGTACCCATTCAAGCATGCCCCTAAGGCAAAGAAAAGGTACTTTAAGTGTTGCCCTACTTCCACTTCAAAGTTGGTTTCCAGAGAGACAACACTCCCTGGGTTGGAAATCACAAACCTTTGAAGGAATGTAGGGAGCACTCTGTAAGAGGATCCAGCTGATCCGAGGCTACCTTCTCGCGCCAACTCCCTTAATCTCCACGCTTTCCAATAAGAGATTCGGATGTCATCGTCGTCTCTCATCATATTCTGCATATAGCACGCTGGGCTTGTTAACTCCATCGCCTGAACAGGAAACAAGAGTTCAGATCTCATACAGCACATTACAGAAATATGATAGATGTTTTCTAGTATTAAATTTATCTACTCAGTTAATCTCGTATTTTCTCGTCCATATACGCAGTTAAAGAGCTATGATCGATGTTCTAGCACTAACATCGGTATTTTCCGTCTAACAATTAATTTACTTACAGATGTAGTCTTCACAATCATCTTCTGAGTCATCTTCGTCTTCCTCACGTTGTGGCTGAGTGTATCAACTTGGATCTCCACTGCAAGCCATAGTCAATCCAAGATAGGGACCCTCATTGTCGGTGTCCATCTTCCCCTTCCCTTTATCGCTATTTTCTGGTAAGGTGGGCTTACCGGAACTTGTTGAACCCAAAGACATTGATCTGTATTAAGTAAATTAAAAGTTAGACAACCATTTTTAGAAGTATCGTAAAGTGAAAAGTTTTATTTTCGTCGCTGTCCGGAGAGTCATGTTGGCCACACCTTCAGTTACCCCAACTTGGGAATTTTCGTCAACGACCCCCACAGTCGGGATATGCAAACTTGGTTCTGGTAGCAGGAATCCCAACTGTCCAGACGAATTAGTGGAAGACTCCTCCGCACCCCAGACCAAATTCTCACGAGAAGAATCCAGTTGTGCTAGTGCGTTATGCACTTCTTGGAGGAAACACCTTTCATCTTTATTGAAAACCTCATGGAGGACACTTTCACAATTCATTACCCGTCGTCCTTCCAAGAGCTCTTTCCAAAAAGTGTTAACATCGTCAAGTCTACCACATGTATTATCAGTTACTTTTTTAATTGTAACAGAACGGGTTACTCTCCGTACCAGACATGTTAGCCACCAGTGGAATGTTTGGTCCTGAAAATCCAGGTAGTGGACCAGCCATTAGCGCATTTGTTCTGCACAAGAAGCGATAGCGCTCCACATTGATAGTACCCACGGTGATCAACAGTGCGAGTGAGTCCCACTCTAAACGCACCGCCATGAAGAGGCGACGTCCCCGTTGTTGATGATGTTTACCGGTGGGGTCTTTTGCCCGAGAGGTTCCGCCATCCACTCCAGGAGCTGGTATGTCATAGCCATCATCTCATATGGCTCTAGAAGGTAGCTCTCCCTAGCCATCTGGTCAAGAGTTTCAAATGTTTTTCTCTCGCTCACCATTAGGGTGTTCCGTCTCTCGCCCTTGTCCGCTTTGAAACTCCACTCTCTGTCAGCAGAATCTGGTCCAAACTCCTCGGAAAAACCTAACAGCAAGACCCATCTCCCTACAAATACACAAGTTCACTCAGTTGACGAAGGTAAATTATATAGCTCACTGCTAACTAAATTGTTACACAAGGTCGTAAACGCAGGCAAAGTGCATGTGAGTATTAATGGTGTACGAGGAATTTATTTTCGTTTGCAATAAAAGCTTGTCATAAAAGCTCTATAATTTTCTAAAACAAGAAACAGAACAGCCAAAACCAAACGGACATATCTGAAAATAGACGAACATAAAGTGGTCCTACCTGATTTTGGTTGGAAAAAGTAAGCTTTTGAAAAAAAATTCTGTTAGCTCGTTCTTACTCTGCAGGAATATTTTTTTCTTTAGTAGAGGTCTAACTCCAAGGATTGTTTCGTTCCCAGCTAATACCTTTTATAGCGGAGCAACAAACGCTTGTGTTGTATACATACACTGATACATCGCTTATTGCACGTTTGTTTAGAAAATATTTAGCATATCCAGCATTTAATGCTCGCCTGTGCGAGAAGAAAATGTGTGGTTCAGATTGACTGCGAGAAGATATTTAGATATTTCTTACATCTACTCTACCCTGTGTATAGCCACCCTAAGATATTTTTATGCTCCCTATTACCGGAGTTTAGAGATTACGTAGCAGTTGGTTTGAAGGCCTTTTTGTTAATTTATGGTAACCTTCGACACAATGAAATCATTTTATGTAGGATCTTAGTTAGTTCGCTAATTTTAACATCGTCCATGAATATTTGGCTTATTTTCTCTTTTTTTTTTATCTACATATTATTGCGTAGATCTTTTTTTTTTTGCTTATGTTGGCTTTATTTTGATGCAATGCTCCTTTTAAATGTCTACCTTATTTTGAAATTGCTGTGTCCCTATAAAGTTTTGAAAAAATAGAATTTCGTTTAGCAAAGATTCTGATTTTGATTCTAAAAAACCAAAAATAGCCAAAATGCCTAAGAATGGATCTTGATGCATAAGGCAGACAAATTCAAGAGTTAGTATAGGTATGACATACTCCTATAGGTGGAAGGAGATGCATTTGTTACAAAATTCTTTTTTTTTTCAAAACTTCATAGGAACACAGCAGTTTCATTAGAAAAATGAGAAAACATGTAACAAATACATCTCCTTCCATCTATAAAAGTATGTTGTATCGATTGGTTATGTCCAATTTCATTGGAAGAGGAAGTCGGAGGTTTCTACAATTCCTACATCAGCTTGGTTGGTTTCTTTTGCTACTTTTCATTTGATTTATTTGGGGTTTTTTGAAACTTATTTCAGATCTTGCAAAGTTTTTGACTGTTTTTCGTGGAAATTTCCCAATGGGATTGGAAAGACAAAATATTCAGTTCAGTTGAGCCATTTCAAAGAAGTAACCAGTAGACTTAGAAGAGATGGTTAGCAACCATTTCAAAGAAGTAAACAGTGGAACACTGATCTCAGTTGTTTTGTTGTTATCAATAGAGCAACAAAAAGAATTGTTTTGTCTCAATGGTTCATAATAGAGCAATATAAAGAGTTGTGTAGTCTCAGTGGTTCCTAATAAAGCAATATAAAAAGTTGTATCGTCTCAGTGTTTCCTAATGTAGCAATAAAATGAAAGTAACAGCCGTGATCAATTCATGTCAATTCAGTCTAAAAATGTTAATATATATCTTTAGATTTCTATGAAGTTCATCTCAATGGAATTTTTAACAATCAAAAAGCAAAAGTGAAGCAATTCATCTGAAGATTTTTCAGACATTTATACACAAATAGATGACATTCTTTACTACAGATCCCTTATTGGTGAATCCTGTTTTCTGATTTTTGTAACCTTTTGATATTTTTAATAATTTTTATTAAATGAGTTTAATCGTTGAGTAGCCTCTTTGATCTCGTTAAGTGATTTTTTTTTTGTAATTTGCTTCATCTTATCTCGGTTTGAATACTACTCTTTGGGATTGATCATACCTTCATTTGGAAATATTAAGCTCTAATACCAGATAAAATTTATAATTTTTAGTCCAAAATAATTTGGCAATGAGTTGAATTCATATCTTTTATTAAATCCCTTCTTGGAATTCCACAAATTTTCGGTGAAAACCATAACTTAAAAATTTCTGTATTATTACAATAATATAAAAATTGGAATTACCAATATTATAATCAATTAATAGTAACTTAACTACAACTAAGTAGATTTGTTATGGAACTTTGATCTTTTGATAAATTTGTATCTCATCATTTTGAGGATTTTATAGAACCAGAATGCGCTCACGAGTTGTAATCCCAACGCCATGGCCTAAAAATGAGAAAAGAAAAAGAATTATTTATTCTTATATTTCAATTGAAATTTGTGATATATGATGAGATTAATCAGCATAATGCGGATAATTTTCTTAAAAAACTGTTAATTTCAACGATAATAGTGGCGTTAGAAAATTTTCACATAGCTATAAAAACAGTTTAAGGAGAAATTGATGAAACTATAATAAGTCAAAGCCAAAACGAAATGTGTCGTATATAAAAAGAATAATTAATTTACCTCGATGAGGATGGGATTATCAGCTGATATCGTGACGTAAACTAGGTAAGGTCCACCCACCATTCTCGCCAATGAGAAGATTGTTGCAAAACACACCTACATCACATGATCTCAGATAAATTTTAAAGTCATTAACTATGGTTTGACTTTTGAAGTTTTGAAGGATAATTAAACGTGTATTACGTTTTGTTATCACCAAATATTACGTTTCCTCACAATACGTTTTGTTATCACCAAATATCATGTTTATTTTAGTTTCATTTCCCCTCCCTTTTAGCTCTATTTTCTATTTGCTTGTAATAAACTGTTTCAGCATTGTACAGTGAGAAAATTGGTATAAATCTTAACATTTACTACCAAAAAAAAAGTTTCTTCACAATACGTAATAGAAATTTTCTTAAACCTTGCACGATTTGACAGTTTGACTAAGGTTACGAGTACATTTTGATAATTATATTCCTAAACTAGGGCCATTTCAAACTATTGGTAGGTTTGGTAGGTTTTCGTTGAGATCTTGTTCGACTACTCCATTCATACGTGTTAAAAAATGTCCCAACCTTAAACGATGTTTCTGTCAACCTTTTAAGAGATTAAACGTGGAAGTGTGGAATACACAAAAGAGAACAAAGACTCCTTATTTCTAGTTTTCCTAAAACAATAGTTTTGTGATATTTTTTTTTTTTTCCACATGCTAGATGATGACAAATATATCTCTAGCCATTATTATACATAATATAGATATTACCTCAAGTTAATGACATACTAACTCTAACTCATTAGAGTGCTCAGATTATTAATAATACTAATAACAATGTATGCACGTAAATACTCACATCGGCGGCAAGATTGAGATCGGTGTCTCTATAACCAATCTCTTTAAGCATCTCCCTAAGGTGAAGAAATGGACTCGAGATCTCTGTTATCCACAATGCTGCCACCATCTCAGATCCACACTTAATTCACCATAAATTCACAACAGAAAACACAAGAAGATTAATCAATTAATTCTCCAAAACCCAATAGTAAAAAACAAAATAAACTAAAAGTATTTTACCTTACGGTGATAGAGTCCAGCTATAAAACCAAGAATACAAACAGAATGATGAACGGCATTATCAATGCTAAGGACTTGATCAAAGTGACTACAAATGAGATCGTAGATCATGTAAGACAACGAAAACGCCAACGTCTCCATCTGCTGGAGAGATGACGTAGAAGCAATCGGACAAACAGGACAAGACCAATCTTGAATCGTGAGAGTTGCTAATGCGACCGCGATTGTGGCGTGTATCGTCGAAACAATACGAGTGCTGAAATCGAACGAGTAGTTTGAGAAGATTCGTCGGACGAGTATGAAAATGAGACCCCATGAGATTACTCCAAACAATGTTATGTTAATCACCCTTGTGTATTCTTCCTCCATTGATGTTCTTTCTTGTAGTTACCCTTCTGGTTTGAGAGACAAGAAGTGTGTTCTCAAAGAACCTTTTTTATGGTTTTGTTAATTGGTTTCGTCTTTGCGTGGTCATTAATAGATAGTTGGTTGATTGTTGGTTGGATTATTAATAAGGTGGGTCCAATTTATTTTATCTTTATTTATCTTCTAGTAAAATTAAATTGACCCGATAAGATTCGATCCAACGAGTTAGGAAGTGTTTCCTTTAGCTCCCAAACCAGCTAATAAGTTACTGGATAAAAAAGTTATTTACTGGATAAAAAAGTTATTCATACCTCTTCTTGCCCATTAAAGCATTCAACTCCGATATGATCATCCTGGAGAAATGTGCCAAAACAAGAACACGCAGTCTACGTGATCTAGGCTAAACGATTACATGCATGGCGGTTATGCGATAGAACGTTCGATTTCACACTATTGGAATGGTTTTAAGATCATGGTATCTCATTTTGAGGGAAAACATAAAAAAAAACGAAGGAAACTCTTCTCCAATACTATTTTATTTTGAGGAAAAAAATGAGTTTATGACGAGTATTACAACAAATTTTAGGAAATACTATTCATCTCCTCATTTTACTTTTTAGCTTTGTTTATTTGCAAAATAATTCTTATAGTTTTACATGTATCTGATCTATATTTAAAAAAAGTTTTAAACTTTTTATTGACTATTCAAATCAAATATTATGGTTTTCAAAACATAATTATGAATAATATTAATTAAATTCATAAATAAAAATGTGAAAATGTAATTTTAATATATAAAACAAACATAGAATAACTTAACAAACAATAAAATTCAAATTACATAATTAATATCATAGATAAAGTTAAAAGATAACAAATAAAATTAACACAAGCTTAGATTTTTTTGTAAAATAAAATTAACATTACATAAACTATTGTTTAATAATCTAGATCATTTTGGGATCCACCAATGTTATTAAAGTATTGTCCAAATAAAATAGATGGAGGAGGAGTTTGTTGATCTTGTTCTTGTGCAGCCTTTTCCTATAGAATTTGTGTTTGTTGAGCTTGAACATACGCACAAATATTTCTGTAAAATATTTTGCTACAAAACAAGAAGCATGTACAAAAGATGTGGAACGTGCATTTGGAGTTCTACAATCGTGATTGCAATTGTGAAAAAGCCTGCTCGTTTTTGAGAAAAGATGTGCTCCATGACATAATGACTACATGTATAATTTTATATAATATGATAATTGAAGATGAACGTGATCTTGATGCTCTAATTGAAGTTGGAAGAGAAACTCCACTTCCAGAAGTTGAAACAGCTGATGATGAAAGTACGCAATTCCAAGAGTTTTTGGCTCGATATAGACGAATCAAAGATAAAGAAGCTCATTTCTCACTTCGAAATGCCTTAATTGACCTTTTGTGGGAGAAATAATGATGTTTAAAAAAATTATTTTTTCTTTTTCATGTTATGTAATTTTCTATATGTAATAAAATGTTTTACTATAAATTAAGATTTTTATTTGCTTAAATTTGGGTATAAATTGTAAATTTAGAAATAATGGGTGTTGTTTGTAATTAATAGTAAAACAAGAAGAGAGTATACTTAGAATATTCTTTTTTTAGGGAAGAAATGAAAGAGACTATTGGAATAAAATTCTACCTCATTTTGAGTTTACTTCATTTTGAAGGAAAAAATGAGGGAAACCATTGTAAATGCTCTAAAAGATTTTTTTTTAAAATAATTGGGATGTTTAGTATCGAAGCAGACGCAGTGTAGCATGCCATTTGATTTTAAAAACTAGATTTTGATCTGTGCTAGGCACAAAATGAGAATTCATTTTATTGATCTAATTATATATCTCATTTGATAAAATATCAAAATCAATAAAATGAATTCTCATTCAGATCAAAAACGATATGTAACCGTTAAATTAGTTTACTAAGTTTTTAATATATATTTGGATGTATATATGTTTGAAAGATTGTTGATAGCTTGTTCTTTTTGCTACTGTTTTTCCATATGAGACTATGAAAATTTTTATTTTATTTTAACTGTGAGTCTTTATAAATATATATATATATATTATTAAAAAAATCTTAAAAATTTTAATTTATCCAAGCAAAGTTTAATATTTTAAAAATTTGTAAAAATTTACCAAAAATTCATACAATCTAGCTTCGTCTTTTTGTTCTTACAATGGTTTATTTTTAATTACCAACAAAAAAATAATTATTTTGGTTTTTTTTTAATTGCTATCCATTATTTTAAAACCAAATTCTCTACAACGTTTTTATTAAGTACATTAACAACCTAAACTTAAATTCCCTAACAATCACATTTTTATTAGATCAATGAAATTTCATCTAAAATGTTTTAATTCAAGCTAATCGCTTAGAGTTTTATTCGTATTGTAATTAGATATATAATCATTCAAAATCTCAACTCATTTCTATCTGTCTCCTTCTTATACTCAGCTTTAAATTCAATCTTATATCTAAATCATTCAGCTTTTGTTATCTTTATTTTTTTCTCAGCTGAGACTTTAAATGCTTTTATTTTAATTTAAGTGTGAGACTTTAGCATTTTTGTTCCTGCGATGCTTTATTTTAAATCCAACAGAGTAAAACTTTACTTTTTTCTTTTAAATTGCTACCCATGATTTTGATTCAAATTCTCTACAACTTTTTTTTCAAATACGTTAACAACCTAAATTAATGTATCAGATCCAAGAACTTCCATCTGAGCGTTATTATAGAAGTGACACATTAAAAATAAAAATATATGAAGCTTTAAGCTAATCGCTAAGACATTGACTTGTATTATGGTTATACTATAGAACCAAAATCTCAACTCAACTATTGTCATCTGGTTCTTGATTATGTTCGAGTTTAAACTCAATCTTACCGGTTTTTCATTTGTAATCTTATATGTAAATCGTCTATTTCTCACTATGTTTATTATTTCTTTGTCTCATTCAATCTAACTTTAACGATTTTTATTTTATTTTAAAAATTTTAAAGTTCTTGTTCACCCAAATAAATTTTAAAAAATTTCAAATCCATAAAATTCTTTGAAAAAATTCTAATTCATCCAATCAAGATCTAATATTTTCTAAATCCATAAGAATTTTCTAAAAATTCAAAAATGTCTAACTTAGCCTTTTTGTTTCTGAGATGATTTAGTTTTTGTTTTAAAAACCTTATTTTTTTCTTTTGATATCTTATTCAGTATTTTAAAGTCAAGTTCTCTACAATATATTTAGATGTATGTTGACAGATTGTTGGTTGCTTGGGGCCCCTCTCTTGCTAATTTTATCTGAAACAAAATTTTGCTCCTCTCTTGCTAATTCTATCTGAAACAAAATTTTGATTTATTTTAAAATATATCAAATTCTAAAATATCTATTTGATTAACACTTGTATCTCAACGTTTTATTTAGAACATACGAATTTGTATCAGAAATCTATCAATTAATGAATCTGATTGGTTTACTTGGTTATATGTTTTAATAATTTAGGCAATATTATATTTAATTGTTGGCCTTGTTTGCGTTCCTCTGCATAGACTCACCTTGCTCTCGAGAATGGTTTTATCGAGTAGATCTCTTCATTCATCATCTTCAATGCTACAAGCACTCCTTTTTCCGCGATTCCGTGGATCAGCTAAGGCACCCTATCTTATATTTGGATGTATTCCACTCTTTGATGAAAAGTTCATATATTTTAGAAAAATCTCATGTTTGATGTTATTTGTGTTGTCAGTGCCGTGCTTAAAAAAATATGACCTTTACAAGAAATTAGTATAAAAATATCATCTTAAACATACAAAAAATAATAATAACTGAAACTATAAAAATTATAAAACATAATTTTTCTTCTTTTCTTTTCTAAAAAAATATTTACCAAACTCACATAATCGAGTTGTTTAACCACAAATCAGACAGCTATGTAACGTATAACCGGGAATCAGCTGACAATCCGGTCGGACTTTTAAAAACCAGATAAATCTGGAAATACTAATTAAAAATTTTCAAACCGATTGATCCAGTCAAACCCAAACTTTGTTTGAACATTGGTTTTTAAGCTTAAAAAGATTTTAATTGATACTAGATTTTGTGTCCACGCTACGCGTGGATACTTTTAAAAACCAGATAAATCTAGAAATACTAATTAAAATTTTTCAAACCGATTGATCCAGTCAAACCCAAACTTTGTTTGAACATTAGTTTTTAAGCTTAAAAAGAATTTAATTGATATTGCTACTTATATTGAAGAAAAATTATAGGCCTCCTCATTTAGATATGGATGTGAGACTTTTTTAATTATACTTATTTTAAGTTTTTAGTTAAATTTCCTTTTTTAATTTTCCTTTTTTATGTTTGAATATCCATAAAAATAAATATCAATAATACTAGTATATTGGCTTATCTCAAAAGAATAACCCAACAATATTAACAGTTAGTATACATGAACTAATTAATAAAATTGTGGCCTTAAACTTTTTTCAAATTGCCTAACTCACAAGACATGAGGCACGGCTCTGTGTGTTGTGTAATGCTTTTGAGACAATCCATATATCATATGATCGTAATATATTGCTCCAATTCCACTGCTTTATCATATTCGATTACAGCCTTTCCAAGAAATACTCTCTGCAGTAAATTCAAATTGTGATATAGTTCGTTCGATTTTGAACATGAGTTGCTACTAATCTATATACTTATTTGCGTAGTGATTTACATATGTATCGCGTTCACAACGAATTTAACAGTCTTTTGCTTACGTGTCAGCTCAAAAATAAGTTCACAACGAATTATTATGCTTTAATGCTTAATTTCGTAGTCAATCAAACCATTTTTAAAATTATATAAAATCAAAATTTAGAAAAAAATTAACAAAAATGTTTTAAAACAAAAAACAAAAAACAAAAAAACAAAAAATAGGAGCTATATCTCTTATGAAATGGTATATAAAGCCCATCGACCATTTTTTTTTTTTAAATAGATCTATGTTAGTGTTCTCGATAATTATGAAATATAG